GAATGTAGTCTGCTGGCCAAGAAATGCACATTAGTGGTTCCCATTAAAACTGTTATGAGTGGCTTTCTCCATTTTCGGGGGAATTATGGTGTAGTGAGTTTGAATAATTGAGAGAAATCACTCACAGAACTGCAAGTGCTTTGCATAGATATGCGATCAAAAATACATTCACGTATGCAGGAATTTTCAACCTAAACAGTGCTAACCACAACTCAAGAAAGAACAATTCATTGTCCAATATATTGATGACTACTAGAGCTAGACCTGCACCAACGCTCTCTGTCACAGTTCTGAAAATCAAGTTAATTCAAGAGGACAAAGGAAGCATTTAGAGGGGCCAGATAATTGTGCTGAGGTACACAAACCCTGTAACTGAAGCGATGCACATCAACAAAGCAATAAAGCTTTTGTAAACCGCTCAGGATTCTCAGAATTCACTGAGGAATAGAGTCATGACTGAATGTGACAGGATGTCACCTCAGAAATAACCCTTGTCCTTATGTGGCACAGTCTCGAGATGATGCTGCCCTGTCCCACCAAAAAAAGAGAAGCAAAAAGGAATATACTGCATTCATCCAACCTTTAAAGGGATAATTCTGATATTTCTAATAAATGAAAATTCTGACATAATTTACTCACTCTCTTGTCTAAACCTAAATTACTTTCTTTTTTTTCTGTGGAACCTAGTTGCAATAAACAAGAATGTTGACTTCTTGACAATAACTTTTATTATATGGGCAACATTTTTTTTATTATTTGTTTGTTTTAAACTAAAAACTGGAAACTTTTATGCGTTTTGGCCATTCATTTACACAACAACATTGTTTGGAGGCCTGCCCTGAAAACAAACTTTTGAAAACGGGTTTCAAAGACCAAGTTTGTGAAAATTGTGACGTCATACGCATGCATATAGAGTGCCGAAGTTATTATGTCACTTTGTAGGACAACTCGTAAGTTAGCAGCGCAAGGGTTCCCTCGATCAAAAAGCTATGCGCCGCTAACTTCCGAGTTGTCACCTCCTAGTTCACACCTTATTTCAGGCGATTTAGCAAAAACCCATTCAAAAAACCCATAGAGAGAACCGGCCCTAAAGTGCTAAAATGCTAACTATCAATCTAGGCGCGTAGTGCTTCTTTACAAAGTGACATCGCCACCTGGCAGCAGAATACAGTGCTTTTTGATCCATGAATGGGGATTGTTTTGACATTGTTGTAGTCTAAAAAACAAAAAAAACAAAACAAAGAAAAACTTTTCCGTTTTATTACATCTTTATTGCGTAAACGTATCCTAAATAAGAGGAAATTACCAACGTGTTCTCATCCCAAGGCGTCATATACAATGCTTTTGCCAAAGCATAGACATCTAACAAACTACTAGAGCGTCTATATACTGTAACATGCTTCGGTTATGGGTAGGTTTAGGTCTGGGGTAGGGTTAGGGTTAGACCACTAGGAGGCGCATTCTGTCCCACATATCTGCATCTCATATTGACGCTAAAGGGTGCCATGTGCGTTGGATGTATACCCATTGGCAAAAGCATCGTATATGACACCTTGGGATGAGAACGGACTGAAATTACTCAGTGTACTGTAGGTTTAAAAAAAATTAAGATTTAAATAGATGGGGTCTGTCTGTCTCTGTTTAGATCACTCTGCAATTCAAGAATTAATAAATCATATCCATGCCTGGGAAGGGAATATGTTGAAAGACAGCATGTGGAATTGACCACAGAGCAATGTGTTTAATTGCATTGAGTGGAGCATGTTTCCCACAGGAATCTGGTAATCACCTCAAAAACACACTAAGCTTCTCCTCAACACATATTTCCCAAACTATTGATTTCCTAGCAATGAGAAGCTACATAAACAGTGTACAGCCTCTGTGCTGAAAGTTGATAGAGAATACAAAAGGAGCTGTAGTGAATGGCACAATATCAAAGGTCCAGCCAATCAGTTCTGATGGCTGTATATATACAGGTCTAAGAAACAGTCAAGGATAATCTGCAATAATACTGCAAGTGCTGTGACACAACACAACTCAAATCTTTCCTAAATAAAATTGTTATTTTGTGACAATGAGATGATGCAACTACAGCCTGCTATGTATGATGCAGACAGATTCCCAAAATGATACAATTTGCTAAGTAAAAAGTAAAGTTGCTTACAATTTAGCTAAATGTTTATACAATTTTCTACAAACATTTTGATCAAATTACTCTGTTTCACGTAGTGTAACTTAAGCAACCAGTAATAAAAAAAATGTGCATGTTGATCATACGACACTGATTTTGATTTGACAGGCAAAGGGTATTAAACTATTAGCCTAATACTATTTTAAATTAAAATTTGATCTACAAATAATAATAATAATGATCAGATCTACTTAGTTGTGCCAACATTTCCAACAAGAAAGATATACTTGAAGTTTATACTTTGCTAAAAAAAAAAAAAAACGCAACATAGTAAATAGCCTACAGTATATATACCCTTACGAAAAAATAAAATAACCTAGAATAATAGATATTAAATAAATATTTAAATTAAATTAAACTAAAAACATGCAATTTGATAAATAATCAATCAAGCCTTGTGTTGTAGGCTAGTTGTTTTTTGCAATCTCTGTACAATTACACCACCTATCTTTTTTCTTTAAGTCCCACAATAAAGTAAAGAAATGAAAACATTTTGATCATCGAATTATGTCATTTTAATGTATTTAAGATAACTTAGGCTACATATGTAGTTTTAATATCTATGTAAAATAATTTTCCACTTCATTTATTAATGATGTATTTGAGCTCACGGAACCATCTGTTGCGGAACCGCTGGCCCGTGCTGAAGTGACCCCGCTCAGCCCGACTCTCTGCCAGAACCGACCCGGACCACACAACAAGCTGCTCCACATTTCATCACAACACCTTCCCCAAACTTCCGAATTAAATGGGTCTTTCTTTCAAACCAAGGGACCTGCTATACTGAAGTTGTTTTTACTGCTACATATACTCCAAATAGTGTACTATAGTGCAAACTAGAATCATTGCTGTAAACATTTTGACAAGCCAAAACAAACCGCAGACAAACAAAAGGGAAAGTAGGCTACTGCCACACACTTGTCCTACTCACTTTTTGCGTAAAGCATCCAGTCACCCACAGAAGGCAGACTGTCATGTACGCCCCCGTCCTTGTCAATCCGCGAAGCCCCATTTTAGTCAGTTCAGCTCGGCCAGAGACACACACAGGACTCGTCCTCTCACTCTCTCCATTCACCTGAGGGAACGCGCCTTCATAAAGCGTGGACACGCACGCAAGCTACAGCGGAGGTCTGGCGGTGCGCGTTCACGACTACCGCACAGATCAAATAGACATCAGCGGGGAGAGTGAGTGAGAGAGAGAATGGGAACACTTAATGCCATTGCACAATGCTTTGGGGAGTGGAATTAATTTTAATCTACGTTCTAAAATGCAAGAGATTTTGTTTTAATTGAGGATTTTATTCATGGGCGGCCAGCTCGGAGCAGTCAATGGCTCTTTGCATATATTTTTTTAAAACTTGTAGCAAATCTTCCCTTTTATTCCTATCTATCTATCTATCTATCTATCTATCTATCTATCTATCTATCTATCTATCTATCTATCTATCTATCTATCTATCTATCTATCTATCTATCTATCTATCTATCTATCTATCTATCTATCTATCTATCTATCTATCTATCTATCTATCTATCTATCTATCTATCTATCTATCTATCTATCTATCATAATTTTCCAAGACAATATGACAAATAAAGAGACAAAAATGAATGTTCAAGTTATATTTATTCAGATTTTTTTCCTTGATGAACCAAAATAATAGATGTACCTTGATATGAAACTATAATGTCTTCATTTCATCAGAACGAAATACTTCATCACACACAAAAAAGTCCTAGTTCTTTTCCTTTATGTACAACTTGTTTCATTTAAGCAGAAGGACGCTGTGCCAGACAGCGGTAATGAAGGACAGAGATGACAACATGACCGAACACAGTGAAACATTCAGAAATGGAGCCTGACAACATGTAAAGGCCTTTTCATGTCCATGTAAGTTATTTACAATTTCAAGGAGCCGTTTGACTGTAAAAAGTATGATTATGACTCTTTTCACATGCACCAAAATGATGTTTGTATCAGTGCTTGAGTGTAGTCTGTTAGACCCCTAAGGCAGATCTGTGAGGAAATCACAATGATTCCTTGGAAAGTCATCTGATGGGCAGCAGAGAACTCATTTTCTGTCAGCAAGACATCTGCAAGATCGCCCCGTTATAGAGATGCCGATAACATAAATCACACTACAGACTCAGCCTTATAAAATTGTCAGGTCATCATAAAACAGGCCCCAGTGAAGTTTTCAACGGGTTTATTTTTAATTGATTATTTTTAATCAGCATGTCTTGCACTTTGCATCAACAATTTCAAAGATTGGTTTCTCTTTCACTCTCAAGCTCTCACTCCCTCTCTCACTCTCTTAAATAAATCAATTTATTGGTCACCCCTATTAAAATACAAATGCAAATGTATCATTTTTTAAGATAAAAGGTAAACCAAGAAGATAAACATTAGAAGTTGGTAGGCCATAACTATGACATAATTGGCAAAAAATTAGTCAATAACCCTTATTTTAACTGAACAACACTATAAATGTCATAATTTTAAAGCATTTGTCTGTCTTATAACTGTAAAGATGCCTGCACCATATACACACCTGTGTTTGGAGGGCCGGTTTATCTTTTTATAATTATTATATATATATTTTTTGCCCTTGCTGTAGAATTAAAAGAGACTCTTGAAAGTGAGAAGGGGAGGTTTTCTGAATTAAACTTCATAAGCCAACATTTATCACAAAGGCATGTTGAGTATCCCAGAACTGAATGATAAGAACCTACGAAGATATTTACTTTAAAATACTCTATACTGTTCAAAAGTTTGGGGTCGGTACGACTTTTTTTTTTTTTTTTTAAAGAAATGTCTTATGCTAAGCAATGCTGCATTTATTTGAACAAAAATACAGCAAAAACAGTAATATTGTGAAATATTTAGGATCAATTTAATGTCCTCGGTGAAAAAACCCATAAACCCTAAACTTTTGAACGACTACGTATATGTGTCATGTCGTAATGACAGTTTTTTTTTCTTAACTCTCTCAAATGGATCCAGCATTTAGAAACAAGCATCTTAACTGTAACTTTCCTGAAGATCATTTCCTAAGACATCCTATAATAACATTCGTTCATTGAAGAAAAAAGAATCTTAACAGAAAGTGCTACTTTCAACTAATCAAAATGGCAACTAATTTGTACAAATAAATTATAAAATATGCAGAAAAAGATGAAAAATCCACTCAAAAATTACAAACACCCCTTTGAATATCTGTATAAAAAGTGAAATATACCAAACCATTGAAAGTTGGGTTTTAAAAAAACACAAACATTATAAAAATAAAAGAAAGGGAAAAATATTTGGGATGTAGCCATGATTTTTCATGTTTTTCTAATCTATTACATGTAAAGGGAAATGGTAATGAAATATATAAAAAAACGTGGATATTGCAGATCTTACTTTCAATACAACGGTTTAATTCATCTTCAACTCCTTAAGTCCTTTATGTAACAAAGGAAGGAGTATTTTTCAAATGTATGTTGATGAAAATCATAACTGTAAAATGTTAGAATATGGCTTTAACATGTGGCCTGTACTGCTAATACACAGTGGTGTGTTTCTGTTAACATATTCATATCTCTGCCACTGCAAAATACTTTTTATAAAGAAAAACAAAGTTTGAAAGAAAGTTTTAACACTGGCGATAATGCCCAGTATCCACCATATGAAACTTTAAATTTTTTTTTAATTTTATATTACATATACAAGTGTATGTTTATTTCTATGGCAGCTTATAGTTTTACATTAGTAAAAAGTGTAAATGACCACCATATTTGAAAAATAAAACTTGTTGTAGGTTGTTAAGTACCCAAGTGCTGTTATGGTTTGTTTGAACCTGATAGCTCACCCAAAATGAAATTCTGTCATCATTTACTCACCATCCACAAGTTTCTTTGAGATATTTAAAAGAACATTGGTTTTCATTTTTAGGTAAACTATCTTTTTAACAGAGAAATGCATTTGAGATGAAGCCCTGATTATTAGATCAGTAAAATGACAAAAATATAGTAGTAATGAAGTTACTGGCATGTGCATGTACATATACACTCACATTCAAGTGTGTGAAAGATCAGCGTACTGAGCACATTTGCATTCAATAAGTGACCTTTGACCTTTTATATACAAACAACTGAACTGACATTGTACATATTCAGCCCTTAATGGTAAATAGACTTTTTTTAAATTCCATTTGAAGCCAGTATTTTCTGTTGTGTGTGCGATTTATGTCCTCTGACGGCTGACACTTTAAAAAAACATACATGGTTCTTAAGCGGCTCCTGATTTATTTTACACATGGAAAGTCTGTTAACAAAGAAAAGGCCAATGTAAAATCTTCTCCCCAAAGACCTGCCCCAGATACTGCGCGTCTCCTGATCGGTGAGTATTATTTCATAAAACTGGGAAAAGAAAGAGAAACTTGTTCTCTTGAGCACAAGTGGAGGTGGTGTTGCCATGGCAGTGCTTTTCCTCACAGGCAGTGGCTCTCAAGCTGTCCGTCAAACAGAAATCTCATATGTAGTTCCACCCACTCCTGTGACCTTTTTGACATTGGTGTGTCTGCTGGGAGTTCCAGAAGGAGTCCCTAGATGGCAGTCACGTGCTTGGCCCTTTAGTTGCCCGTTGACTTTACCTGGACCGAGGTCCTCTCTATGTGGAGAAAATACAGGAAGACATATTTGAGGTGGTTCTTTTCCAACTGTATCCCCAACTGTTCTCCTCTTATGTAATTCAGTAGACAGGTAGAGAGTCAAACATGTACTGAATGGTTTGAAATGTTACAAATGAAGATGAGTTAATGAAGAAGAGGACAGTATTGAAGAATGGTGGAAGGGAATGAACATTAATACAGGACTCAAGAGCTACTTGTCCACAAAGTATGCCTTGCAATCTTTTTAAAGGTACACTATGTACATTTTTTTTTTCAAAAGTAACAAAAATTAAATAATGATTCAATACATCAGAAATCCTTCTTCCAAAACGTGTTTTTTGTCTGATTCACTATGGTTTATTATTATATAAATTTTATATAAATTTTGATTTTTATATAATGGTTATATTTTAGAACTGACAGGGCGGTTTTTCCACAGGAAATTGCGTAAATATGTCACTCGGCCCTGTGTGTCCTCACCCCCATGTCATCCAAGATGTCCATGTCTTTCTTTCTTCAGTCGAAAAAGAAATTAAAGATTTTGATGAAAATATTCCAGCATTTTTCTCCATATGATGCACTTCAGTGGGAACCAAACGGTTCAAGGTCCAAAAGACACTTTCAGTGCAAACTGTTCAAAGGGCTTTAAACGATACTAGACGAGTCATTTGGTTAATTCAATGAATGAAACGAACGAATTGACTCGGAAAAAGATTCGTTCATTTTGATGAGCGAGTTCGAACAGGAGAGTCACGAACGTGCATCGCAGAAAAGAGCAAGGCGAGCATTTGAGCTTATAAAACTTAAACTTTGTTTTTTTTTTTTTTTTTAAATGAGCGGTCGTTTCGCTTGATAAGACCCTTATACATCGTCTGGAATCATTTAAAGCCCTTTGAACAGTTTGCAGTTTGCACTGAAACTGTCTTTTGGACCTTGAACTGTTTGGTTCCCAATGAAGTCCATTATATGGAGAAAAATTCTGGAATGTTTTCATCAAAAACCTTAATTTCTTTTCGACTGAAGAAAGAAAGACATGGACATCTTGGATGACATGGGGGTGAGTAAATTATCAGCAAAAGTTTTTTTGAAAAGTGAACTACTCCTTTAAGCCAAGTAGTGAATGTTTTCCTCTTGTCGGAGTTACCATGAACGAATTACGGAGTATTTTTTAAATAATCCTTGCGATCCTGTCCCGTGTGATAACCAATCAATTTTAAATGAACTCAAATACAATATATCAACTTTCCACATCCACCCCAGCCCGTTTACCTCCAGGAGAAGTACCGTGACTGTAGGCCTACTGTCCTCGCTTAAGTCAGTCAGACCCGGGGCGCGTGCGAGTGGAAGCGGGATCGAGCGGGATTCTTTATTGGTGTCGATTTTCAGTCTCTTTTTAATTATAGGACGTACGCATCTGTCAATCATCTCCGCTTGCAATTTGGGGAATGAACCCAGCGCTATGATTGGTCGAACTCTTCTTCTCTTGCTGTTGCTTGATTTGAGGACTGCGCGTGCAAATAGGCATCACCAGGTTTATGCGTAGTTTAGAGTGACAAATCGTACCAGCGTACATTGAGGTCAAAATGCGTTCCCACTACGCAAAATGCGTACATGTTGGCAGGTATGCATCCGCACAGACATGCAGAGCCGAAGCACAACCAAAACAATGTTCTTCCGCAAAATGCATGCTAGAGGGCCAGAAGTTGCATAGTGTACCTTTAAATCGGTTTATGATAGTTTATTAAAAAAATAGTTTGATTCAATTTTTTAATAAAAAAAAATTAAATTTACATAAAAAAAACCAAAGAAAACAATGCATTGCTAAAAAAAATGGATCATTCTGTTTTTGTGTGGGATCTACAAAAATGTTGTCAGGTAAAATTCCTTACTGTTGAGCCCTGTAATAAATAATTTTATTAAATAAGATGCAATGGCTTAATAGTATGATAGATCAAATCATGCGGTTTGATGTTAATCACTTATCAGTTGTAAAAATAAGAACGAAATCAAGTCAGTCAAAGAAAAAAAGCAACACAAAAAATAGTATGCACATAAATGATATGTGAACAAAAAGCAACTCAAAGAGAACAAAAACATGAATGGATATCACATCATGGTTTTTGTGTATTACATTGATTTCTGACAATGCAACGCTGTTTAAGACATTAGCATAATGCAACGAAATGTACAATAAGTAGATACCATGCAAAAAGTATAATAAATATGAATGAAAAGACATGCAGACATGGAAACTGATGATAATGAAGGGGAAAAAGGCAAAAAAAAAGGGACATTTATTTGGCTACCAGATACATAATCACAATGTTTTTTCTTCTCAGCATAAAGGCAAAATAATAATAACAACAAAAAACATAACCTTATGTTTTCCCAATAACAATAATGACAGAAATGAATTAAAGTACAAAAACCAGTACTCAAAACTGAACAAATAAACAGCACGAATGAAATATCTTTTCAGACCCATCCGCATAAGAGCGTTCATATCTCATGAATCTCTAGCCTGTTTAGTATATACATCATGCACCTATACTCACCCTCTTTACTGATTGGTTAAAAGTAGATGCTATGCGTCATACCTTGTACCCAGACGTGGTGAGTCCGCCCTCTCCAGGGCGTTAATGAAGGCGACCTTCTGATGTGCGTATAATGGGGAACGGGGCACAGCGGTCGGAGAGTGATGCGTATGGTGCACCGGAGAGCGATATTGGTGTTCGGCTGTCCTGCTCGCGCCGCCTCCATCTGTGTGCAGGGACGTAGTTGAAGTCCTCGGTGCTCTGGTGAGCGAGGATGCAGAGGAGCGCAGAACAGGGGTTCGGGGAGCGTATCCCATCAAGGTGTCCCGAGAGCTGCTGGGCTCTCGGGGTCCGGGGCCTCTGGGACTGTCGGGGTAACACGTCCCGGGTGGGAGTCCGTAGGCGGCTCCACTGCAGGTGTCAAACACGCCTGAATCGTTGGCATAGGCCACCGGGGCTTGAGCGTGCCGAAGCATGAGTTTCTCCCTCTCCTCGAACTCCTTCCTCTCCTGGATGGAGGCCATGATGGTTTTGGAGAGGTTGTCGTAGCGGACTGGCGAGGGATCTCGGTCTCGATCTCTCGGGTGTGGTGACTGCCGGCCGTACATCGCTCCTACGTGCACGGGGCTGTAGGACGGGGCACCGACGTGTCGTTGAAGCTCGGGCCCTCGCGCGTGGCACATTTTAGAGGGCAAGTAGGGGGAATGGAAACCCATAGAGGGCACTCCCGGGTGGGCCGCGCATTCGCCCAGAGATGGTGTCAAACTGGGGGTTAGCAAGCTATCGTAGGACAGGCTGCCATTGCGGCCAGATAACGTCCCAGGAGAGAAGACTCCTTTGTGAGGGGTGGAAGTGACCGTTTCTGGTTTGCTGCCCCCCAGTGGCACACGGTCGGCCCTGTTCACTCCCTGTTTGAGGCTGAAGGAGCGAGACGTCGTGCTGAAAGAGTCCAGCTGGAAAGGGGAAGACTGGTACGTTCGGTGGAGGGGAGTGCTTCGGTAGTCTGGCAGATCCAGATTTGGCTCTGAACGGTAATCGTGACCTCGATCCTCCAAAACTGCAGAGGGCTTGCCATTCTCGGACATTACAATCTGAATGCAAAGGAGAGAATGTTTAAAAATAATCAGACAGCCCTTTAAAAATGTTATATATTATATCAATTATTACATTTATTTATATATTAGGTATAATGTAATATTTATATTATTATTATTAATTCTAAGGATGAATTTAGCTGATCAAGTGACCGAATTCATTTGTAACAATGTAAAAGTCTTTACTATTTCAGATAGAAGCAGTTCATTTGAATTTTATTCATTAAAGAATCCCGAGTAATATTAACATGGTATAAACTAAAATATTAAGGCAAGGCAAGGCACCAAATCGGCAAATTAGAATGATTTCTGAAGGATCATGTGGCACTGAAGACTGGGTTAATGGCAGTTAAATTCAGCTTTGTCATCAAAGAAATAAATAATATTTTAAATATATATTAAAAACTAAAAAAAATAAATAAATAAAAAATTCACAAAATGATTGTTTTTGCAATTGAATAGATGCAGCCTTGGTGAGCATAAGTTCTTTCAAAAACATAAAAAAAATATCTCACATTCGCGCAGAACTGTAGTGTGAATTATATTATTATATTGCTGAGAACATTGTTTTAGTCTGTGACTCTCACCTTCTCTCCGGTTGCGTGATAGTGCACTTTAGGAATGGTGCCGAAGGAAGGTCTGTATTTGTACATGGCTGGGGTGGATGGATTGGTGGGTTTGCTGGACAGGGAACTCTCTGGAAAATGTGGCACAAATTAAATGAATGACTCACTCAACAGTACTGCAATATGATGCAACACCAGATGGCAGTAGAAGTGCAGTTTAGAAAAAGGGGATTTTTCACAAGCAGAAAACATGAATTAGATGAATACAATATTTTATTAATCATCACATGGTTTTTAAATACTTTTAAGAAGGATTTAAAAAAAATCTCACAAACCAAATATAAGCTTAAAGGAGTAGTTCACTTTTAAAAAAAAAACTTTTGCTGATAATTTACTCACCCCCATGTCATCCAAGATATCCATGTTATTCTTTCTTCAGTCGAAAAGAAATTAAGGTTTTTGATGAAAACATTCCAGAATTTTTCTCCATATAATGGACTTCAATGGGAACCAAATGGTTCAAAGTCCAAAAGACAGTTTCAGTGCAAACTGTTCAAAGGGCTTTAAACGATTTCAGACGATGAATAAGGGTCTTATCAAGTCGAAATGATCACTCATTAAAAAAAAATAATAACAAAGTTTAAGTTTTATAAGCTCAAATGGTCGCCTTGCTCTGTTCTGTGATGCGCGTTTGTGACTCTCCTATTCGAACTCGTTCATCAAAATGAGCGAACCTTTTCGAAAATGAGCGAACCTTTGAAACAAATGACACGAAAAAAGATTCGTTCATTTTGATAAACGATCGTTTAAAGCCCTTTGAACAGTTTGCACTGAAACTGTCTTCTGGACCTTGAACCGTTTGGTTCCCATTGAAGTCCATTATATGGAGAAAAATCCTGGACTGTTTTCATCAAAAACCTTAATTTCTTTTCGACTGAAGAAAGAATGACATGGATATCTTGGATGACATGGGGGTGAGTAAATTATCAGCAAATGTTTTTTTTAAAAAGCGAACTACTCCTTTGAATATATAAATAATCACAGCAACAAGTACATTTTGGAACATTTTGGTGCTGACTGCTTAAAAAAAAAACTAGTAAACTGCAAACCATTTGAGTATGAGTGACTGGCTGTTCTATAGTGGCTACTTGCCTTCGCTGGAGGTGAGTTGAGTCTTGAGCTGGTTGTAGCGATCTGCTTTTGGTGGCAGAGGTGGCTGTGTATCTATACTTTTATCATCCACACCATCCAGACTAGTCTTAGACTAAAGCACAAAAAAAAACACTATTTATTTTGGGAAGCATAATTTAGGCACAGGCACCACATTCCTAAAACTGTTCATCTAGAAATTAGGACACCATACATTTTAATAATTCCAGTTTTCATTGAAATCAAAATGATGAGCCTGTTTTGACGACATTATGAACTGCTGGTGTAGCGGCAATTACTACAATAACACAAATGATTCAACGTCATTGAAATTCCAGGTTGTAGGCAGACAGAATGAAAAGCTTTTTTTTTACTCACTTTGCTTCGTAGGATGTTACTATGGATACCATTATCACTGACTTTTACAGTGACGTGTCGGTTAGAGAGGTCAGGGCGGAGGAATGGTGGTTTTAAAGCGATAGGAATTTTCTTCCTGGGATCAGCGATATACCTGTAGAGCAGATATACACATGATGTGTGTTAAAATGTTTTTCTTTCAAAAACACAGATTACATTTTTTTAAAGCATATAAATTCATGGGTCAGACTTAATCAGTGTATGCCAAAATCAGACATCTACATGTAGCTTCTTTAATGCTTAAACAAATATTTGATAAAAATGACTTTCTCATGTTCATTCATGTTATTTCACACCCACAGGAATTTCTTCTTTGGAACATTAAAAGTTTACATTCTGAAGATTTAGACTCCGTTTAAAAGTTTAGGGTCATTTAAAAAATAAAAATAAAAAAAATAGCTGCAAGCAGCGATGACGGGCCCAAGCCTTAGGCTGCCGGCTTTGGCCCTTCATCGCTGCTTGCAGCTATATATATATATATAAATATATATATATATATTTTTTAAATTTGAAAACATCAGACAGTGTTCAGAAGAAAGAAAGCCATTCTCACTTGAAACAACTTGAGGGTGAGGAAATGATTACGTTTTTTAATTTTTTGTTTAACTTCTATGATTTCTATTTCTGATTCAAGGAACGTTTTAATTTGCCCAGTGGAAAAAAGTAGTAAGTTTACAGCAATCTCCTTTTATTCTGCTTTAACCTCAAAAAGGTTGTCCTCTATTGTCTCTGAAGACGCCGAAAACGAGTTTTAACAAGTCATTAACCTTGGCTCTGATCTGTGTTTATATGGCAATCACTTTCTCTCTCCCCATTGTTTCATAACCTGCTTCAAGTCTTGAGTGCTATACACTCTTCCAGCTCGGAGTGTCATAATACAGGCAAGAAAAACAGGACGCAATCTACCTTCCTATGGACCTCTATTCTTCTGAAACCCCCTCTAGATTGTCTACAATGATAAACAACCTATTTTTTTTCCATCTATGTCTTCTGTTTATATTTGTTACAGTAATTATTAAAGGCCTCACACATATTTTAAAGCATATTTCCTTTTGTGCTGGGCACTTTCCTCCCAAAAACGCCAGCAGTGAGAAAACAGCAGTTAAGAAAGCATCTGATCATATCGACGTGGATACATTTGCACAAGCTCTGCAATTCATAATAATTGTTTCATTATAAAGTATATTTGAGACGATAGACTACATCGATCTGGCTATGTGAGACTATAGTTTGAATTAATTCCTTTTCTTGACATGACACATTGACATTACAGTACAGAATAGACCTTTCGGCTTTATCCTGAACATTGTATAAGCATTCATTTCATGTGTCATTAAACAGAAGAAAGGCTCTCAGGAGCGAGCTTAAACGTCCCATCCTTTTAATTTGCTCAGCAAAAACGTCATAAAATCAGTCTACAGGCTTTCATAGACAACCTATGAAGTTGAAGGTGTCGTTTTTTTGTGTGTTTTTTTTACGATTGAACGATAGTTCATGAACTTGTTCATATTTTGGGAGAACGTGAATTTAACGTACTGTATTTCTGCCTGATGAACGTTACTGTGAATGTGTTCATTCTGGTGTCTGTGAACGCACGCTCTCAGTTTAACTTCCTACAGGGTGCCAGATTTGTCAGTCTATAAAGCCTTCCAGGCGAAATCCCGGATAAAACACACGTAAACATGTAGCGAAAAAAACACCCAATCTGGCAACACCAGCCAACAGTGTTGCAACGCGGGCGCCGAATGCCTCAACAAAAAGCCGCATGTAGTCGACAAAGAAAAAGTTTTAAGACAAGGTTGGTGAAGATGGGAAAAATCGTACATTTCTGTGCAAACTTTGCCCGCCGATAAAATAATTGCTGTCTGTGGTTGTATAAATAATAAAAATAAAAAAACTATGAACTAGTTCATGTTTTGGAACCGTGAACTTAGTTAAAAATTGTGAGATATGAAATATTTAAAATTTGTGAACTGAACTTTGAACTAGTTCATGTAGAAAGTGAACTTTCCCAACATTGGTTTATATGTTGGCAATAAAAAAAAAATTATAACTACATGAAAATTCGTACATATAGCCCATTTAACATTTTTAATTTTGAGTAGAGAATGAAGTTGGTACTTCATAGGTCTTTTGTAACATTTGCCTAAGTGTAATGTTCATGAATGAATCTTGCCTGTTTTGCAAATGGAAAATAACACAACCTAATGTAAATACTTCTGTAGTACTACTGTGCGTGCAACTCTGACTGATTATGAACAGGAATATATGTGTGTGCAGAAGCCAGTTTCTTCTTTACCTAGGAGCAAGCGGACTGCATAAGACGTGTTTCACGTTGCCACAGCAACCCCGAGTGAATGGATTCACTCCTCCTCTGAACTTTCCTGTCACCTGAGAACAGAGAGAGGAATTCTACTTTCAGCATACTGAGGACAGTGGAAAACAACTGTCCTTGACCCAATGAACCGTAATGTGGATTGAAAATAACAGCCTTTGTAACAGATGTCATGCACTAACAACAAAAGGCAACCAAGTTGGAAAGGCATCAAAGTGATTCTGAGTGGGTGTTTGCAACATGCGACTACGATTCTGCCTCTACATATGCGTATGTTATTACACAGACCAGATAAATATATTTAGTGTGGTGTAATTTGGGTCACCTGTTCGTTTGTGGTCCGTCCTCTGACTACAAGAACCATGTGAAACCCAGTGAGGCCCATAACAGGGATGAAGAACAGGCCAGTCACACACATAACCACAAGACTAGACAGCAGGAGAGTCAAGGAGCCCAAAAAAATCACAGCCAATCAGAACATTTTAGATTTGTCAAACACAGGTAAGTGGAGCGGGATTATGAGCCGATGAGATCTCACTGTGGGATTTTTTCAGGACTCTTTCATGAATAGCATTTATTTGAAATAGAATTCTTATCCAAATCGCTCTAACCCCAAACTTTGAAATCAATTTATTAAATGCAACTAAATTAGCTTTCAGCATGATTGCTCTTCGTGGAAGGATACGTCACAGTTGTGTGGAGTGCACTCAGAGTCTCAAGGTGGTGTAACACGAACAGCAGGCCAAAGGAAAATACGCCCACCATGTGAGCACTTAGAGACAGCAGGAACAAGAAGAAATAGCGATAATTCCTCCGACCAATGCAGTTGTTCACCCATGGGCAGTGGTGGTCAAAGTCCTACAGTGAGAAGGGAAGTATGTATGTGTGAGAGTGCTGGCATCGTGATCATTTTATATAACGCAGGAATTCTGGCATGCGTCTCACCTCCACACAGTTGTCACACACGCTGCAGTGTGAGCAGCGCGGAGGTCTGTAGAAGTGGCACGTGGCACACCACTTCATCCGCACCTGGATTCCCTTTATCTCCACGTTTTTATAAAGCGGAGCTCGGAAATCGTCGTCTTTGTCTTCGTCCTCATCCGCTGGGATTGAGGGAGAAACCGAAGGAAATTTTAACATTTACATCAACATTGTCTTGCAGTATTCTAGACGTCCTAATCGTGGAGCGACTGCTGTATCTAATCTTCAGATATTTGAATTGAGAAACTTAAACAATGACAGGATCATACCTCTGGGAAAGACTCCAGGGTCCATGAAGGTGGCCATGCTGAAGTTAGCCAACACAAAGAGGAAGATGATGCCATTGTATAGAGGCACAAGAGGGGAGATGGCCTTGGTTAACCACGGGCACCTGAGAGGGTACAAGAGAGACAGAACAATGTTATAGCTCATAGTTGATCATTTCACAGCCAGAGGACGTTGTTCATTTTTTGAATCCCTATATGATTCATGCAAACCTCAGAAAACTTGTGAGCTTATGCAACCATAAGCAACCTAATGCTGATTATTGACAGAATATTTTGATAAAGTCACATTTGCGCAGATACCTTGACTCTAGTGACAAACTAATCAATAAGGTCATAATTTTGAGATGGCCCTCAGTGCAGAACATGAAATCCAGGGGGAGGAGTTGGATCTGGATCCAACTCTTCCCACCTTAAACCCCATCTCCACCCCCTGATCCCTAACCTCTAACCCCACCCCTAATCCTATCGATCCCTGCTCCCTGATCCCTAACCCCACCCCTAATCCACGATCTCCACCCCCTGATCCCTAACCCCACCCTTAATCCTACCCATCTCCGCCCCCTGATCCCTAAACCCACTCCTAATCCTACCCATCTCCACCCCTTAGATCTGGATCCAACTCCGCCCCCTGGATCTCGTGTACTGCAATGTCGTGCTACTGATAATTTTGGCTGATAACTATACCTATATAATATAATTAATTCCCCATTGGGTCGGGAAAAAATGTGAACGTTATAAATATTATTAGTTGATTATTGTTATCATTATTGCAAACATTATTAAAAAGTTGTTAAAATAAAACATTGCTTGAAATGAAATGACAACAATACATATAATTATTATTATATAATAATGCTTAATTAATGAAGAATGAAATAACAACAATAATAATTTGATACAACTAAATTTTATTTATTTAACTATTTAAATATATACATAATAATAACAACAATAATATTATATTTAATAATAATAATACAATTAATTATTATAGTAATTTAAAAAAAATATATTTTTATTATTGTTATTATAATAAAAATTATTAAAATATTTATTAATGTACAGCTTTATGTACAGCTCCTGCATTAGCTACATTATATCAACCAAAAATATAGATATTGTTAGTGGCTATTAAACAAACCAATACTGATCAACCACAACTCACAAACAGAGCGTGGCAATGTCTTATGAGTAAACTACTGGTGCCCAACACATACAATACAGGACATTTAGACATGTTTCATAATACACCCTCTAACTGAACTCTACTCAGGTCTCATTTAAGATGGGTTAACAGGCAGAGCAGAGCTTATATATTTCAGCATTTCTAAACTTGGACCTGAGTCTATTACATTTCATTTTCAGGCCAAGAACCGCCCATTCAGACAGGAAGACGCCATTGGATCGACATGTGAAAGGACCAACCACATTTATTTTAGAGGTCCATAAATCTACAACATATATTCATAATACAACCACATTTGAATAAAATCATCCAAAGAAAGATTTATCAGTCTTTGAGAATGGCTGAGATTTCATTTGTGTGCGTGAATTGATTGTGAGTAATACAGCAGATGCATAATAATGCAACAAGCCACTCAAGGACATGGTTTACAGTGATTTTACCGATTTATTTGATAAAAACAACATTGTTCAGCACATAATTGCATTTAAGTAGGAGCAATTACAATAAACAATATTTCCATTAAGTAATATAGTCCATTAGCCTGACTGCAGACCGTTTAGTTGCTAAACAGCTGTTACTGTATGTTGGCTTCAAACAAACCTCATCCAATCAGATTATAAAGCTGGACTGACCTATAACTCTCTTAACTCTCCTGCTACATCTATTCTCTCTCTCTGTAGGCAGTAGATCACAGTACCATTCTCTCGAACCCGAGGGAAAAGCACTAACTCGTACTCCGTCTACACTGGAGGAATGCCAGGCTTTTCGGAGAGATAAAGTCTCCTGTCACCTTTATCTCACTGGTGCGATATGATACGATACACTCATTCCATGCAGTTTTCTTCTCAATTAATTTTTCAGAAACCCATAAACCTAACAATGCAGTCCTAAGAACAAAGCTGTAATGAAGTGGAAGGTAAGAATGATAAAGACAATTGATAAATGAAATGATAAAGACACAACCCCTCAGACACAACAGAGCAAAACAGACAAAATAACTACTCCTTCACGAATAATCCAATAACAAACGGGCGACCTCAGAATCAATCCATGCCGTGGGCAAAGAAATAAAAGCCTGTTTTATAGGCCGCATGAAAAGCTCCTTGGGGGTAAACAAGAAGTTATGGAATAAATACTTGTAAAATGTAAAATGCAATAACTCTTGATCAGTAGATCTGCAAGTGTCTTGCTCTATGCGAGACAGAGGATATGCTGTGTTCATGAAGCTTAAAGTGCCCTTCATCTGAAAGAGAATGCAGAGATTCTTTACGATCTGTCTTTAAAGGTCGGCACATTATTTAGTCGTTTTCACATACTAAAGGCTTGGGGGCCACACAAACACACGTACATTTAAAATTGCTAATAGTAAATGTTGAGCACCATATCACAATTTTAGAACGATGATCTAATTCTAAAGGATCATGTGACACAGAAAACCAAAGTAAATGCCTGCTGATAATTCAGTGTTGCCATCAAAGTAAAATTACATTTTGAAATATATTAAAAATAAGCTCTAAATTAATCTCCTTTGAATCACCACCACATCACTTTGATAAAAAAAAATTATTTTGTTTTTTGCACAAAAAAAGTTAGTTATATATACTACACAAACTAATAGTAACTGAAGACCTAATCACCATACATATCTAGTTAATACACATTTAATTTAGAAAGTATGTCCATTAATACCACCGTTTGCAGCTATAACATCTTAAAGCGGTCATGAACTGGCTTTTTAAATTTGATTATATTGTTGTCTGAGGTCAACTTATGATGTTTGCTTGGTTTTTGCATTAATAAACATCAAAATGAATAAGTAAAAGGCTATTTTCTACCCTAGTTTTGAGCCTAAATCCAAAACGCTCGGTTTTTATGGGCATCTCGCATTGAAGACATGGAAGTAAACGCCCACTGCTGCGAGTGGACAACAGTTTTGCATATTATAATGAGTTTCACTCTCGATCTGGTTTGTCATCACGAGGTAGGCCTATGTTATTTAGCTATGCATGTAATGCACAAATCGGTGGGCGGGGCTAAACCGGCTGTGTTGAAGTAGGCGTCGACCTTTTTCTGTGGGGGTGGTGTTTTATCCTCTTTGATGTCATAGTTCCTCACTTTGAAAAAGTTGTTTGCTGAGGCTGGTGTCAATAAAAGATTTTATTGGACTAAGGACATTTTCAGTTCTGAAACTTACAGGATATTCTTATAATATGTTGACCTCGTAGATCTCAAAAGCTCAAGGAAATTTTGATTTCTCAGTTCATCACCCCTTTAAACTCACACAAACTATAAATGTATAACTTAAAAGCAATTCATTTGCTTGGGATTTTCAGTCTGCCAAATGCACAGTAAATGTATACTCTTCTGTGGAAGGCTTTCAGATTTGGCAAACCCATTGTACTGACTTCACATTGTCATATAAAGCCATCCAGAAAGTGTTGAAAACACCTAATTCTCTTATATTGCCAAATTGGTCCAATCTTGTAAGCGGTGAAATTGTTATAGTATGCATTATTGCATTTAAAAAAATGAATACAAGTGCATTTATTATTTTCATTAAATAATCTAATGTTTATTTCTTTAGTGAGGGCTTCAATGGAAATCGCCATATCTCATTGCCATTTTATTGGTCCACCCCTGAGGATTAAACCAGCGAACTTTGTGTTAGCAGCCCAGATCCTAAACCTAGATTTACCTGCAAGCCTCTACTATACAAGATTCCCCTATTTTAGTGTAAATTACACAAGCATTTTAACAACCCAAGGGCTTTGCTGGAGGGGTGTATATCAGGTTTAATTTAGCACATTCCCTGCAGTGTCTCATGCCTAGCTGCTACAAACATTAGCATTTCAGTGCCAAAGGCAGTCGCTTTTAAGGAGCCATCTATCTGTGAGGATTATAATTCACCAACAAGATCAACATAGATAAAAGGAACAACCCTGTCAACAACAAATCTTTTAAACCGGTGCTAGGTAATTCATAACTTTAAGAGATTAAAATAAAATACATTACATATGCTAGAAACTAAGAGAGTAATAATAAAATAATTAATTATAAAAAATATATATATATTTTATACATCGTGGGAAAATAAAATAAAATATTAAAATTAAAATGAAATAAAAACTGACATGATGTTGCAGGTGGTTTCTAAGGCATTATACAGTTTAGGATTTGAATTGTTCAAATCCTCGATCTTAAGTATGGAAAATAATAATTTGCTATACGTCTTAACAACAACCAGTCATAAATCGATATCTGCTTGGATCATCAAACATCAATCGTTTCCCCCCTGTATATGCATGTGGCATCATTGATATGCAGCATACACACCTCCATGATGCACTGGGATGATGGATGTATTTCAGTGATGTAGATCCCATCTGACTACACAAATAACACATTTAAGTGCCCGGATAGAGGGAAAAGCTTTTGAAGTACCACCTATCATATCTGTCAGAGTGTGTCTGTGCTGAAAACGCAACATCATTGCTGGGACTGGGTATGTTTGCTGAACACATTTTCTTGTCCTCGCATTCACTGCATGGATGCAATCATATGCCTGCAGAGATACGATATTTATGTGTTCTTAACAACTGAATTCACACCTCTATTCTCGGTCTTTTTTTTCTTCACTTCAATCCAATGCACCACAGGCCAATTAGTGAACCCTGGGAGTCCTGTATCTACTATAAACATTGTTTCATTAATCAACGTGTGAAATCTACATGGTTTATAATGGAGCAGAGGAGTCCAGAAAAAGAGGAAGATGGTGACGGGCTTGAATGCAGGAGATCATTAATCAGCGAGACAGATGCTTACTGAGGGAATGTTGAGAAGCTAATGTTGTGTGGTGAACAGATCCACCCTGGAGCTTCTGACAACAGAGAAATCAAACACGTTATTCATTAGAAGGAT